GCACACGAGAACATGTGAGACTGTGAGGCAGCCCTCGGACAAAGAAGATCAAGCTGGCAATAGTTCAGGTGCCCCTTCTGGGCTCATCAGCACCAGATCTCAAAATACTTCCTTACCATCAAACCTAACTCCCTTCAGTGACAAGATGTGTTTCAGAAAGCCACCTTTGCAATAGTCTGGCAGGATTTATGTGGTGCTGGTGGAAACAGGCTGAATTTCCGCAGTGATTCAGTGGAATGGATGCAGCAGCTTGGGTAAACTAAAACGGACTTCTATTTACAGGGTGGGTCAATACAACCCACCATATGGCACTTGTTAACCTGCTGTTTTCCCAAACTTGAGTGTGACTGCCTCAGTGTGAACCAGAGATGAACTTAAGCAGTGTTAGCTGTGGAACAAAATACTCTGTTGCCATGGGTATGTTTTCGTGCACTTGTGTCCATAATTGGAAATCACATAAAGAAAAGAGGATAAGAGAATCCTGCACAGAGCAGCACTCAGAGCATGGTGAGATGATTAGTCCTCATGTGAGAGGAGCATCAGTCCCACCTGCAGGTACAACTTAGTTTCTCTCTTAGTTTATCTTCAACGTTCTTCTTGGGAAAAGGGCCTAAAATACTTCAATATTCCCTTTTCAGGCTATTATCTGCTTGGGGGAGGCTGCCTGCTCAGCCCCAGACAGGTTAATGGGTTTTACAAAACCAGCCTGAGACCTGGGAGACCTCTCTTCCATTCCCATTGCTGGCACAGATCCCCTGCGTGCGACCTTGGACAAGTCATCCCTCAGTTTGAAAACAAGAATATCCTCTACTTGTGAGGGATGTAATGTGCTCTTGGCAAGATAAGGAAGTGCATAATGCACCACAATGTTTCTAAAGATATTTAAAGAAGTTTCACAGCGAGTGTGGAGCCATACTCTAATTTCATAGATGGAAAAAACAATTGTCAGAGGTCACTGGAAGCAGAAGGGCCAAGAGGAGCTGGCCCAGCCCTGCTGTGGATGATAATGGTCTATGATTTAATGGTCAGCTTTAATTATCTATCCCTCCGATGCCTTAGAAGACCTTGCTTTTCACACATCACTTATATAATTTTGCCACATGAAAGAGAATTTTGGACCCATAATCACTAGTTGCCTTCTGACATTTTTTCAGACACAAAACTCTGTCTGTGGGGAAGAGGCGGAGTGAAATCCTATTGTGCTTTTTCCAGTTAATCTGATCCTGATCTCTTTCTGCAGAAGAAAGGTATGACAGCTCATAGATCCTTCCTTTTTATCTGGAATATCCGTGTTTAGCTGAACAAGACTGTCTCCACCTCAGCTGCTACAAAAGAAGCCGGCCCAAATTTCAGCTTCTGAATGCTGCTCTCTCCACCCTGAACACAGAAAAGTCAGGGGAGCCAACATTCAGGCTGAAGGAATCACATCACACCTCATGCTTTTCTCTTTGCTTTCCTTTCTGCTTTGGCAGTAACCTTTCTTACCTTGCTTTCACCATTCAGGCCTCAAGAAACAGATGTGTGCTGTGCAGGGAGGCAGCTCCCACCACTGCGGTGGAGCAGCAGAGCAGCTGAATTTGTGGGCAGCTGAAGCCTGCTGAGTTTTCTACACAGTTCCCAGACCTCATTAACATCTCCTGGACTTGGTGCTGACATGTCTCTGCTGCTGCACAAGGTACTCGTGCTGTGCTGACCAATTGATGAGCCAACTGGGGAGCTGCAGTGAGGAGAACCTGCTTTTGGAATCCCCATGAGTGAGACCTGGGGCTTCCTGAAGGCTTCTAGCCCTGGTCACTGCTCTGTTATGCCCTGTGGCACAGAAGATGGGCAGGGAAAAGTCTTAGGGTGAGAGGAAATTTCCCCATTCACATGTCTAGGCATCAAGAATTCCTGTCAGCCAGCTAATTAGCAACTGCCTTCCTAGGTTATGAATTCACGTTAGCCTTTGCTCCTCTCTCACATTACAGCCTCCCATCTTGACAGTACCAAAACAAAGCCATCAAAGCAGGACTAGGTCAAAGCAGAGTGGTTTTGAAACTACTATATGTTTAACAGGAAACTTCTCCCATTTCTACCTTGCAGGGTGTGACCTCACTAAAGAAATAAGCTAGCAGCAGGGAGCTTATGGTCCCTGGGGACCGTGCAGTTTTGTTGTAAGTTGTACATCAATGCGTGGCCCGTGAAATGTGGCCAAAAGCCTGCAGCCTCCCAGGGTTCAGCAAGTGCATATACTCAGGAATTACTTTCAGCATTACTCACCTCCCTGAGTCCCTAAGAGGAGCACAGAAAGGGGAATAGTGGGTGAGTGCTGCAATTAAAAGGTAAGGAGAACACAGCTGCACAGATAGGGCTGTAGCCTGTGCTGCAAAGGAGCTTTAACAGGGACAAAAGCAAAGCCCTCTGCAAGCAGGGACATGCAAATAAAGACACCCAAATTAACCCTTGGCGGTACCCACACCACATGGCTCACCTCGTTTATGACAATAGCTGCAAATGTATCGTTACAGACACTGAAACTGAGCCATCTCAGAGATGTTACCTGGCCATTTGCTTTTTGGAACGAACAGCCGTACTTCACTGATTTATATTTCTAAACAAATCAGTTTTAAAAAAGGGAACACATCTCCCCAGAGCTTACGCAATGCAAATGTTGCAACGGCGCGTCCACCCATCAGGATGAAATTCATTAAACGGCGGCTAGAGCGAGCAGCGCCCTTTTTCCCCGCAAGGACTGAAACAGACAGCGGACGAAAGGCGCCGTTTCGGTGCGGAAAGGGGAGGTCGGAGCCCGACTCGCTCCCACCCCAACCCCAGCGGGGCCGTAGCGGAGCCCGCAGCCGCCCGCTGGGCAAACACGGCGGGGCCGCGGGCGGGGCGGCGGGCGGGGCGGTGGAAGGGGCGGGCACGGCGCGGGCGCTAGTTGGGCCATGTGACGCGCGGCGCCCCACTCGCCGCGTCTGGCGCCGGGAGGAGCCGGGTGCTGCGGCTGCGGCTCTGCCCGCCGCGGCGGGGGCGGAGGGACGGGCGCTCGGCGGGGCGGCCCTGCGAGCGGGACCCGGAGCGGCCGCTGCCATGGGCCGGCGGGCGCCCTGGGAACGGTAGGAGCCGGCGGGGGCGGGCGGCGGGGGGCTCGGCGGCCTTTCCCCGGGGCGGCGGCCTCTCTTTCCCGGCTTCCTTCCCCGTCTTCTGCAGCGGGGCTTCTCTCGGCCGTGCGAGCTGCCAGAAATCCGCGCCGGCTCCGGGATAACGATAACTAGAAAAACGAACGAGCCGCTGGGCTGAGACCGGGCTTAGCGAGCCGGCGGTGCGGCTCGGCGGCTCTCGCAAGCTCGGCGCGGTTCGGGCACCGTCAGCCCCCGGGTTAACGTGGGGCCCGGGGTGCGGGTGGGCTGCGGGAACGGCCGGCACGGCTGTGTGCGGGTTTGCGGAATAAACGCCGCTAGCGTCGCTCAGGCGATGACTTGAAGTAAGTTGGGCTCGTTGAGGAAGTGGCGTTGTTTGTTCGGCGTCTGTGGTCGCAGCGCTGCGTTTGGTGGTCTCTGGAGCACAGCTTGCAGGGGTTAATTCACGTGTCAGCTTTTTTTTTTTACTGCGTGGACATGTGTCGGTATAATGGGAGCCTATATAGTCCTCTAGCTGAGTACCTGGAGCGTTGTTTTAAAGGGAGAGTAAAGCTGCCGTAGCCTGGTGCGGATGTGTGGATGCGTTGTGCCTGATGGAGAAGCTTTCAGGCTCAGACTGATGAGCACAAAGGCCGTGCATGGCTGGAAATCTTTGCACTGAGCCATTGCTCCAGATAAAGAGGTTTACAGAATGATTTCAAAGATGAAAGCTGCTGCCTTAGAAAAAGATTGATTTTTCTTTCCCTGGAAGTGATGCAGGATGAGTTTATGATCCTTTTGTCCCAGATGTGATCTTGTTCAGTGAAAGAGGTCTGGTTATAGGATCGACAGAATCCTGTAACCTTCTCAGCCTAGGAAGAAGGCTTCTTTTGCAGCGAGTCGGTCGGGAAGCTGCTGGGAATGTGATGGAGCTGCGCTGCTGTTTACAAAGCAAGTGGCACTGTGAGAGGCACTTGACTGGCTTTGGAGCAGTCTTCCCTGGCCAACCGGCTGCTGGTGCGCCTGTCCCCTCCCCATTCATCAGCATGCCTGGCCTCCAGCCCTGCTGTGGCTCTCGGGGGTTCTGATGATGGATGCACAAAGCTGCAATTTATTCTTCTCCCCCTTAGTTCTATTGAAGACGAGGGATGAACTTCAGCGGCGTATTCCTCTGGGGGGCATTGTGTTGTTGCTGTACATCAGCAGCAGGCTTTCACAGCCCCTGTCCTGCTTTAGAGCTTACTGAATTGCACTGTGATGCGATTGGAGTTTGTTTGTAAACTTCTGTTAGATGTTTCAGAGATGTGGTTTTGTGTTCCAGGAACTGGCTAACTGAGATGTGCTGTGTTTGTGTGGAGTCAGATCCCTGCAGCTGGATACTGGATGTGGAAAATATGCTCTGCTTGCTGCTCTTTTCTCTCTCTGCCCCTCTGTGTTTCTTTTCCTCAGAAAAAGTGAACTGAAGTCTGCAAAGGCTGCTTGTCTCTTCTAATCTGTCCCAAAGGTTAATTAAGAAGTCGTGAAGCTAGCCAAATTAAAAATCCGTCAACAGTGAGCCAGTCAGGATGTGGTGCATGCCAAGCTTTGTGAATGAGTGCAGACCACTGACAACCAATGTTCCAAGTCAGTGTTCTTTTTGCAGAACGTAGGATGTGGAAGAGGCTCTGCTCTGCGGCTCACTGATGTCCATGTTTCAGTCAGATCTCATGGCTGATGCTCCTGAATTGATGGAAGTGGAGTTTGAAGGCTGGCTGGCTCTGATACACCCATATGAGCTGTGCGTACAGTTTTGGGCTGAAGCCTATATATATTTTTATGTTATATATATGTACTGATTGAGTCTGGGGTCAGAGCTTATGTTCACAAGTGGAGCAAGGATTAGCTGGTGTCAGCAGGGCTGTCAATGAGCCTCAGCAGGGCTGTGCAGCAGTACTCTGTTGGTGCAGCTTATTTTGCTGTCATGTGGAGAGAAGCTTCTGCTTGTATTAACTGGTAGAGTTATGCAGCATTATAGCAGCACCTATATTAGACCTGCATGGATTATGCTAACAAGCTCTTGACTTTACCAAAGGCTGATAGACGTGGCTGGCTGTGAAACTTGCTGCTCTGCTCCTCCATGTTTGCAGGCATGTGACAAGAGTTAGCAAATTAAGCTGCTGGTGCAAGATACAAGTAAGACACCAGTTGCTTTCAGGCAGAGATGTGTAATGCCTGCAGAATGCAAGTGAGTAAATGTCTGAGAACCAAGGTTACCAAACTGCAGTCACAGCTGCTTTGCTGGTGGTCACCATAGGATGGGTTGATGTCAAGGTGCTGACTCACTTCCAGTTACTACACAGCTTTGAACAACGAAGATCTTCCCCTGGAGTTACTCCATGTGAGTAACTGTGACAGCTGCCAGTGTTTCAATAACTAATGACTGGGGGTGAAGGTTGGACTGTGTGTAGCCATCCTTGGTGAGGATGGGGTATATGCTGGAAGAAAAAGTCAAACGCTTAGCAGAGTATGAGGAAAACCTAGCTTAGCTTCCAAGTATGTGGATGGGAATACTAAGCCATATCACCTTTTCAAATACAATAAAAATGGGGGAGGGATTGCTCACAGGTTATCAGTTCTGCACTGTATGTAATGCTTTGGGAGCACCTGAGCTAGAGTAAGTCAGCATGCTGGGTTGAGCAGGAAATTCTCTTCTGGCTGATCATTGGGTTGGGTGAAGCAGGGCCATCCAGCTTTCTGGGTGGGAAGCTGAGTATGACAGGAGGCTGAAGGAAATTAATTCTTGTGCGTGGAAGGGTGCCTTCCTGAGGGAATTACAGTGAAAATTAAGAGGGGCATTAAGTGTAAAACTGAAGTCTAACGTAGAAATGAGCAAAACAGGTTTTGAACTTGCTTTTTTAAAAACTAGAACCCTGTCAAGTCCAGGTGAGAGGTGCAGCACTGAGATCTAGAACTTCAGCCTGTCACAATGCTGTGCTGAGCCATAAGAGAACACCTGTTTCTGGCGCGTGGGTAAGGGATGATCTTCAGCAGTTTAGCTTATTGATTTGTTCTAGGCACTCCCAGCTGAGAGCTATTGCATTTTTTTGTTGAGTAAATGTGCAGATCTGTCTAGTGCTGTGGATTGTTTATTGTGGCTCTGGGTAAGAAGTGCTGGAACATCTGGGTGGCAACAACACTGCTTGTTATCACTGCAGTGTCCAAGAGAAGTCTTAATATTTATAAAGAGATCTGAAATTACCTCTGGCTCAAGCTGATCAGGTTTTTGACCTGTCTAGGCACACCAACTTCTTTCTGATAAAAAATCTGTCAAAGGGAAACACTAAATCAAGAAGTCTCTCTGCTCCAGCTCGGGCAGCCACTGAAGTTAGTCCTTGTCCATATAGATTGTGAGGTCCTGTTAGCTGTACCTCTGTTCTTAGTGGAAGAATGACTTGTACATTGGCATATTCAGTTTTGGGAGACACCAACTGGTTTGCACAGGCTTCAGCTAAGTAGTTTCACAGGGATTTAAAAGCCAGTGACTTTCTGAATAATGGTTTATTAGCTAGTCACTAAACTGCCCCATCCCCCTGAAATGGACCTACAGTGTGATCTTGGAACAAACCTGCCTAAGAGCTCTGGAAGAAGCAGACTGAATTAGTATGGCACTGATCCTGAAGGGGCTCAGGAGTTACTGATGCTCCAGTGTTGCCCATCTGGAAACTGTCTGTGTCTGAGGAATGTTCTTACACACAGATTGCGGCTTAAAGCCCAGCTCTGGGTGTTCTGTAGCTTTGGGGTGATGTGAGCTGCCTCAGCTCTGTAGCATTTGAGGGAAGGAAATACAAGCAGACTTTCCCTGATAAGATGGATGTGATGTGAGCTGGATGCTATCTGGAGGTCCACCCCTTGCATACAAAGGGGGTGAGTAACAGTACAGAGAGAACATCAGCTGAGCTGTGATTAATGTCCTGCTGTCAAGTTGAAGTGGAGTAAAACTGACCTAGCTCTATGGACTGGTACTGCAGGCTGCCTTTTCCTCCCTCTTTGCAAAGAGTATGGGGAGAAGAGCAGTTCTTCAGCATGTTTACTGTGTTTGTGCTCTGGGCACAGACCACTGGCACAGACAGATGTGTTTTTTATGTGGCATGATGCCATGCCTGGGATGGGGCTTAAAGGTCCAGAGCTTTCTAGGCCAGCTGGTGCTTGTAGCAGTCTGACAGTGCTGTGTGTGCCCCAGGGAGTGTGGTTCAGAGGGATGAGTGCAGGGCTGTGAGCCAGGGACAGCTGTAGGCTAATCCTTTCTATACATCTGGCTTGATGTGTGGCCTCGCTTCAGTTGCTCGGTGTTTTGCTTTAAGGTTTTCAGAAAAGGAGAAAATAAAGCTAACATTTTTCTTATCTGATCACCTTTGGCAAGGATGGCTGCTAAAACCAGGTTTTGTTTAATGGTATCTACCCTGTGGCTCATCCAAGCAGTCGGAGTAGGAAGGATTGAGGATGCATGGACTTGTGATTGTGGGATGGGGGTGACTCAAAATCTTTCCCTGTCCACAGTGTAGGAGCACTGCAGCTGAGAGGGTGCTGTAGGCTTTCTGTTTGATTCATATGCTAGAAGACTTGTCTCCTCCTGGTTGTCTGCATAGCAGGAAGACTTTCAGAATGAGCATCTTTCTGATCCTAATAGAAACAGCGACCTGCCCTTGCCTTTCCTGTTCTTCTTAACCCTGGAGAATCTCATTCACTCACCTTTTCTTAACGACTGCAGGCTTTGCTAGTATTTTTCCTCTGCTAAAAAAAAAAATAAATGAAGATGGATTTTGTGTGTGTGTGTGTGTGTGTGTGTGTGTTGAAGGAGTGTTGCTACTGTATAACACTGAAGCTTTTAACCTGCAAAACCTCCCCTGGGAGCCAGAAGCTTTTTACATTTGCAGAAAGCACAGCACACAAACATCTGCCTGATTTCAAAGCAGGAGCAGCGACTTCTGACTTGAAGGAAGGTAGAGTCTGAATATGGAGTTATAAAACATGGGCTTTTTCTTCAAGCCTAGGAGGGGAGTTTGATGAAGCTTCTAAGTTGGAGCAGCTGTGTAGATGTTAGTTTCAGAATGCTTTTTTTTTTTGGATCACCAGTATGTTATCACGTCAGGAATCTTGAGGAGGCTGCAGATGGGACCTTGATACCATAAATGTACAAAGGCACTGGGATGCACAAAAACTACAGAAATAACTTGATTCTGAAGAACATGAGCCACTGATGGTAAACAGCCAACAAAATCAAGCAAGGGCTAAGGCTGGGCTGCTCTCTACATGAGAAGACTGCATTGGTCTCAGATGTTTAGAAATCTTTAGTTTAAACTATTGGCAACTTCACTGTGGATAACTTCTGGTTTTAAGGGCCTTTTGGAAGCTAGGCTCTGCATTAAGCAGCGGTGTGAAACATGTCTGGATTCCAGCTATGGTGTCTGAAGGTTTGAAGTGTCCTGGAGTTGGGCTGAGTGCATTTCTCACTTGGACACTACGGTTCTTTTCCATGTGTGTTTAGCATCTTTGCATCTGCAGCGTTGTAGCAGGGTGGCTGTGTGGCAAAGGACTGCTTCTTAGTGTAAAGGATAACAACTCTTGAAATACTTCCAGACAGTAGTCTTGGTCTGCGCTGTGGAGGAACTGGGATGCTGAGTACATGGTATGGAGGGACTGCTGCTGTAGTCTCATGCAGAACAGCTGAGAACATTTCAAGTCAATTTTTTCATCGTTATTTAAAGGCTAAGCACGTTATTGAACTTGGATGATGAGAGAGGGATTGCTTTGTCCTATTCCAGTATTCCAGTGAAGAAACAACTGCTGGTTTGTGGAGCAGTTGGTTTCAGAGGGAGCTGAAACTGGAGGACCAGCACTGAGGAACTGTGGAGTAGTTGCAGAAGAAATCCATTGACATCCACAGAGATTTGTGGACTGCATGGATTCAGCAAGAACCTGACTTGTCGAGGTATGGACGGGCATTGCAGCTGCTCAGACTGTGTTCTGGGGCTACTGATAGCCCTGAGCTGCTGCAGGCTGATGTGCTGTGGTGTTACCTGGTAGCTTGCTGTCACAGCTGTGTGCTGATGGCTTGAGGGCTTGACTTCCTTGCTGGGTGTCCCACACGGTCTCACTACTAATGGTGTGGGCTGTTCCATTTGGCGTGTTGTGCACTTCTAGCTGGAACAAACTGGAGGTGGGTGGTGGGAGTGAATCAACCTGAACGTTTCTTTCTGTGTGAGCCAAGGCGTTGCTTTCCTCCCTGCTATATCACAGCTGTGTCTCTCTTGCAGCAAGGATCAGATAGCTGTAAGTGGTTTCAGCCTGAGATTTGGCTCTGGTATTGATTCAGGCACATGCATGTCTTAGATTTTGCTAGTGTAGCTTAGTTTGCAGCCTGAGAAGAAAAGGGCAGAAGGACTGCATCCATGGCACTGATTCCAGCAGGATATTGCTGTAAGGTTAGGAATGTGGCATGCCGTCTTGCCAATGTTCAGCTGTTGCTAGCTTTTGTAGAAGTAAAAAAAAAAAAAAAGAAAAAGAAGTCAGTTAATCTGATATGAAGTGGCTGTGAGTTTGGGTAACAGTGAAAATCCAGGGGAGCAGGGGCAAAGCAACACAGTAATGTGCTACTGGTTGTCCAGGTTGTGGGCTTGATTTGTTGCACGTTGGCATTTGGGAGAGAGGAAAAAAGGGGAAAGTGTTACTCTTATACTCTTATACTCTTTGTTAATACAAGCTAACTTAAGTGGCTAAGGTTCATCCTGGAATTTGGCATTACTATCATCTTTTTATCTTTCTGAGTTTATCAGCTTCACGATATACTTGAGGACCAACAAACTGCAAATAACTTTCTGAATTCTGTGCTTGCAAGCAGGCACTGAAGGAACTCTGCTCTCTGGGAAGGTTCACTCTACACATTTCCTTGTGTGCTTTTGATCCTCTGGGAGAGATGCGTGCCAAGTGACTGAAAGATGCTGCCTTCCAGTGAGATTGCTGGGGAGGGGCAGCTCATGTGCCAGCAGAGGCTAAATTCTGCACTTCTGGCAGGAATCACATTAGAACTCCAGGCTTGGTATCTGAGTAATCGGATCGTTGCCCAGTATACAGACCCTGAACTGGATTTGCAAGAGGCACAGCTTCACGTGTCAACACTTTAAGTGGGAGGGGACATCTGATGAGAGTGAGCCTGGAAGGAGCAGTAGCCCACATCTCCAGGCAGGCAGATTGTGCAACTGTCCTTGAGCTTGCTCCACAGCCAGAGCAGTGCGTGGTTTGACTGGAGGAAATTGCCAAGTGTGCTGTCACCCCAGGATGGCAGGTATGTCCAGATGTTCACCTACAAAGAATTTCAGTGAATCTGCTTCATTTGTCAGGCTCAGAAGAGAATTCTGCTATTAGGTGTACTTATCTATGTGGTATTTTTTTTTTCTAAGGATTTCCTGCTGTTCACTTTTTCTCCAGATATGGGTTTGGTTGCAACTTGTAAGGTGCCTTCAGTCTGCCCTTTATTGTAGGGATGCACTGATGTTCTCTCTCCCCAGACAGGTGACTCTGTGCAAGGGATCAGCTTGCTGCTGTGGGCACTATTCTGCTTGTGGGCAAGCAGAAATTCCATCAACTAAACTTTGCTTTTGGGACATATGCTATGTCCCTTGACTCACTTTAGTAGAGAGAAGCAGGCTTGGGCTTTATGCCAGAGGGGTGACCTGCTTTCTGTTAGGCATCTAGAAACATATAAGAGTGAGTTACATGGCTTATCCTCAGCTGGACTCTTATGGGTTAAATGCAACAGCACTTCTGTCAGGTTGGAGGATGACTGTTAATGGTTTTTCTGTGTCTGGGAAGAGACAAGAATTGAATGGCTCTTAGTTTTAAGTGGGAGGTAGTTTTCTGATGCAGGTAAAACCTTAGTGGAGCGTTGGGGAGCTGAGTGTGCTGTAGATCATGCATTAAGGAGGATGACTAATCCTTTGTATTTGAGGTTGGAGAACTACTTTCTATCTAAT